GAGCAGATCTATTCCACTCCAAACAATCAGAAAAATATTGTTTCTATTCTATTCACTGAACTTCTTGAAACTTAGCACTGAAGGGGTTGATTCTGTATTCATAGGTTTGTAGAAGTTAGGATTAAGGTCTTTTTGTTAACTCTGTTCATGTTATAACATTTTTGCTGTGAAGAAGAGGCATGTGATCTCCGCTGAGTCAGATTCAGTTTTGAGAAACTGCGAAAGTAAACCAAACATCTGTGATAATATCTTGTAGGCAGAGAAACTGCCCAATAATCTTACAAAAACCATTGGAAGAGCGTGACATTGTGAATGGATTCATGGAATTTATTTACCAAAAAATTTAACATATACAGCCTTATTCTACATAATTAAAAAACTAATCTTTATTTCATGATGGAATAACCTTTGGATGGTAATATATTTTCCTCAAAAAGCATTTTATTTTTAAAAAAATCCGATTTTAAATTAAAGAAAAATCCGATTTTAATAAAAAAAAAAAATCAGATTTTTTTTTTTTAATTTTTATCCACCCTGGTCCCAAGGCACCCTTTAAAATTATGAACCTTATTGAGGCACCTCATTCTAAAGTGGGGTGCCAAGACTGTTCATAATTTTAAAAGGGCACCCCATTCTAAATTGTAAAAAATGATTCCAGTGGTTTTATATAACGCAGCAACATCCACACTTGTAGGACACCCAACATTAGAGGTGATTTATTCTTCCAAAGCAAATACACTTTTGCACACTGGTACTGACTAGTATTCCAGTTTTTCTCCATCACTGAACATATGTGACCCCAGCACTGATTGAGAGGGACAAACTAGGATGCTGTGCAGGCAGCTGACATTCTCCGTATCAACTGATGTCATTGGTTGTCAGGATGCCGGCGGCTAGAAGGTGGTGCACAATGAAAACCTATGGTTTTGTGTAACTAAAAGGCAGGCTTGTTTCACCCCGCTGACTTGTATACAAGTTTTGGGCAATTTTAGACATTTTGCCAAGGCACCCATGGAGAAACTTCAAGCTACCCCAGGGTGCCTGGGCACCATGGTTGAGAAAGGGTTCCTCCAGTGGTTGCTAGGGGTTCCTTGAGCAATTTCTACCTCTCAATTATGTTCCCACTGACGTCATTGATCTTTTTTAGCTATCTATAAGAGGGTGACTCTTTCCAATGGCCATGTGTAAGGAGCATTCTTCCCCCTGACCATCACACTAATGTATCATGAGTTGTAGATGGTCCTTTTTAGCAAGGGTTCCCTGAGGCCAGAAGTTGTTTAAAGAGTTCCTCTTTGTTGAGGATGGCTAACCTAAAGTATACCAAGTTTGGAGAAGTGAAAGAATTGGTGCTCTTAAAGATGATGATCTGTTTGTTGCATTTCCTGTGGCTGGTGTGGAGGAGGACAGATGGAAGCTCAGCTGAAGGAAGTCCCTGACATCTGGAAGATGAGACCATGTAACTGGGTCAAATGATGATCAGGGCTTCTTTTTACAGACGCATGGCTAGAGGGGACTTGGCCAATGTTCCTAATAATCACCAAACGCCACACTGAAGCTGGGCATGAAAAGATGCATGAGCTTAAACCAAACCTAAAAATGATGGATAAAAGTACAGGAGAATCAACTCTTTTTAAACTCTTAGCACTCGTTCATGTGGGGTATACTATGGTGTACACCTGCGCAAGGGCCATGTTTACTCGTCCGGGTATGAACAAGTGTTCCGTGCATCCCTGATGGGTAAACATAGCCCTTGCACCAGCATAGTCTGTAGTACACCCGTGTGAATGAGCCCTTACGGTGCTTTTCCTTTACATAAATTGTGTTTTATCCACTTGCAGTATGAATGTGAAGTTCTTAGAAAATTTGACAACTCTAGGAGAGTCAGTTCCCAAATACAGCCCCTTCCTCCTCGTATGTCGTTGCCCCCTTTCTAGGAGTGTCTAATTACTGTGTGTGCTGTCCCAGCTCCTCCTTCCCTCACCTCCTATACATACCCTTTCATGTAACTGTCGGGGAGAAACAAAGGGAATACTATAGAGTGTCACTTGAGTGACAGCTCTGGGTCCACTATGGCTGCTGACATCACATCCAAGATGGTGGCACCATCAGCAGTCTCAGAGCTTTTGGATGGATATCTCCGAAATGCACCCACAAAGGGCAAAATAAAAACTCATAAACATCACCACCACTCCTTAACCGCCTCCTGCCCTCCATATAAGGTAATGACGGGCGCAAGGCGGTTCTCTCGTTCTGGGAGGACATCATATGACGTCTTCCCACTCTAACCGCGCATGCACGGCTCTGGGAGTGTGCAGCACGGCGATCGGTGGTGCACTGTGTCCCTCGGACACAGCGGATCACCAATCAACGGAAAGAGCCGAAGATGTCGCCTCGGTCATGTGATCAGCTGTGTCCAATCACAGCTGATTGCATGTAAATAAAGCAGTGGCGGTTATCGGCATTTCTCTCCTCACGAGCTGTCACGCTGACAGTGGTGAGAGCCGGTAATCGGCATTCCTCGGAGGGGACATGTACACTGATCATCAGGGCACTGATGATCAGTGTGCCCTGATGATCAGTGTAGCCCCAGCAGTGCCAGCTGTCAGTGCTCATCAATGCCACCTGCCAGTGCCCATCAGTGCCACATCAATGCCATCATATATCATTGCCCATCTGAGTTGCCTAGCAGTGCTGCCTAGCAAAGCCAGTCAGTGCCGCCTATCAGTGCCATATATGAGTGCTGCCTTTTACTGCCCATCAGTGATGCCTGTCAATGCACATCAGTGCCACCTACTACTGCCTCCTCATCAGTGCTCATCCATGCCACCTATCAGTGTTCATCAGTGCAGCCTATCAGTGCCCGTCACTGCAGCCTCATTAGCGCAGATCAGTGAAGGAGAAAAATCACTTATTTACTAAATTTTATAACAAAAACTAAAAAAAAAGTGTGTGTTTTTTTTTTTTTTTTTTCCAAGATTTTCAGTTGTTTTTGGCTTGTTTAGCAAAAAAACAAAAAAATCCAGAGGTGATTAAATACCACCAAAAGAAAGCTCTATCTGTCTCAAAAAAATGATAAAAAGTTCATATGGGTACAGTGTTGCATGATTGCGCAATTGTCATTCAAAGTGTGACAGCGCTGAAAACTGCCCTGGGCAGGAAGGGGGTATAAGTTCCCTGTAGGCAAGTGGTTAAAGTGGTAGTAACCTCATTAGAAAAGACCCCCTGCAGCTTTTGGTCATAATGTACCAGTATGCATCACATACTAGCATGGCATGATGGACTCGCCTGTCATATTGTGTCATCCAATGTCACCGATGTTACAGTGCTTCAGCCGATCTCCAGTCACTTGAATGGCTGGGCCTCGATGATGTCACTCCCATGCATGTGCACAGTAGTCACATCACGACACAGATCAGGAACCATTATGGCACACTGAGCTGCGCATGCACGGCTCAGTATACTTTAATGCTGACAGGGAAGGAGACGTCTGATAGGGTCTCTTCTGTCATAAAAGCCCTGCCTGTCGGCAAGTTTACAAAAGTGGGTTTAATAGCACAGGGGACAGTTAATAACACATACGTGCCTTTTTTTTTAATAGTTGTTGCATCTTACGTTTATGTTCTGTTTGCAGAACCAAGCTGTAATTTTACTGATCGATTCCAGTTGCAGTGTGGCTGTTTTGTTTAGACTCTGTTTTATAAACATAGCACTGTTTTTGCTGTAGAAGAGTTGCAAGGGCTGTAACCTAGTTTGTGATTGATATTGTTGACAAATATTTATTTTTTCAGCCACAGATTCCTGTAAAGAATCAGCAATAACCTAGCAAATCAGTTGCACTTGGTTAGCACTTCCGCCTGACAGCACTAGGGTCGTTAGTTCGAATCCCAGCCACGGCACCACCTGCCTGGAGTTTGCATGTTCTCCCTGTGCCTGCGTGGGTTTCCTCTGGGTACTCCGGTTTCCTCCCACACTCCAAAGACATGCTGGTAGGTTAATTGGATCCTGTCTAAATTGTCCCTAGTATGTGTATGAATGTGAGTTAGGGACCTTAGATTGTACACCCCTTGAGGGTTAGGGACTGATGTGAATGTATAATATATATGTAAAGCACTGCGTAAATTGACGGCGCTATATAAGTACCTGAAATAAATTAAAATAAATCTGAATCCTAAGGTGCCAGTTTGTTGGATTCATATTTATTCCTCATGTTGGTGCCATCTAATGGCCACAACACAGTATCCCCCTCAATGACACTGTCCTAGAAAATAAGTATGCTCCTAAGTGGCCATAATGCGGTATTTTCCCAAATCTATACATTCGAATTAGAGAAAATATTGCCTGAGAACAATACATTTTTCCCCATTTGCACGAAACAAATTTACATGTAGTTTCAGTGTACTGTTATGCAATTTTTTTTTTTAATAAATTATGCTATAAATACACCCCCACAGGGTGTGTTCGTAGAATATTTACTTAACTTTTTCTCCATCAAAACTGCATGTAAATTCATTCTGTCCAAATGGGGCAGAATGTAGCTATTTTTTTCCTGTTAATTGACTGTTTCTGGCTTCAATACTTTTCACTCAATGACCGGAATCAAGGGTGCAGCATGTGAAGCCAGTACTTCAACACTGAGTCACAGACCAATGAGCAACAAAGCAAGTATGACGTTTTGTACACTTTGGATCAGCTTGGTTGGAAGGTTAAGAATGACTGCTTTAGAGCTCACATTTGGGGGGGGGGGGGGGTCTAAGAAACACGTGGACAATCTGCAAAATAGCAACTTACAGTGGTAGTGGCTACGTAGTACCTAAAGATGTCTACTATGTTAAATTTACAGAATACCCACAGTTATCCTCACATGCACCATTAAAACAAAGTACATACTTATGGGAAATGTACTATATATTGCTTTTAAATGACAACTATAATTATAGGCTGAGATCTCGGATAATGATTGTTATAAATGTATGTAGTTTACATGGTTTGTTTTGTTTCAGATCATCTGGACTCAGGATGAAACTTTTCCCTAGTTTCATGGGGCTTTTGACCCTTCTGGCAAGTTTTGGACAAGTTTATATGTGGCATCCAAAGAGTCCCTTCAGCCAGATGTTCACTGGAGTTAAAGTTCCACCCACCACTAGAGGGGAACCTGGGGAACCACTCTTTCTTACCCCATACCTGGAAAGTGGGAAGATTGATGAAGGTGAGAAGGAGGGAGATGTTAAAAAATCTGTGAAATAAATGTTTCCTTTCACTAACAAAACTTTTTTATTTCTTGCAGACTTTTTTACTCACAGGTGCATTATATTTTCTTTAAAAAGTGATGTTTATGGAGCATCAATAGCACTGTTAGTGGTGTTTAACCCCTTGATGTTCATAGGTTCTGCGTTCAGCATTACCTCGTTTGTTTCTGATAAACCTGCCTTTTTTTTTTAGCTCGTGAGCTGAGCCTTGTGGGAAACCTCCCAGGTGTAAATGTGAAAAGTTATGCAGGATACCTCACCGTGAACAAAACCTATGACAGCAACCTCTTCTTCTGGTTCTTCCCTGCTCAGGTAGGTGTACACAAGGTGTACTATTGCTTTAAATTTATATGTAAATCCTGCACATAAGCAAGCATGATACAGTGCATGTAAGCATATAGCACATGGTGTGCCTTAATAGATTAAAAAAAAATATCTGAAAACCTCCGGTTCCAGCGCCATATGGAGCAGAGGTGAGCCGTCCCTGCTCCCACCACCCTCCTCCACCACTGTGCTCCTAAGCCCGCTGCAATTCAGGCCCCCCCCCCCTCCTGTGTTTCCAAGGAACTCTAGACCCCAAACCCGCTACTCTTCAGTCCCCCACCTGTCACAGGGGGACACAGCAGCCAAGATGGCTGCCACTGAAATCATCTCTACTGACACGGGATCAGCAGAGCCTACAGCAGCCAGAGCCTCCTACTCCTCAGCCTCCGGACCCTGCCTCACCAGCTGGCATTGCCCATGCAGTCAGGCTCAGCGCCTTACGCAGATGGATGATAGGATCTCCTCCTTTGAAGATGACTCATTGGCTGTTTCTGTGGCAGTAGCCCGACTCACCACAGTCCAAAGAGCTCTTCAGGATAAGGTAGACGATCTATATCTGCTAAGTCCATTCCGGAGCACCTAGGCCTGCGACACCCCTGCGCGGTTGAAAGAGCCCACCGTATTGGCTTGCCGTCCGACTCTCACACTAAACCTAGGCCGGTGATTGTCCACTATCTGAACTACGCTGACAAGCAGGCCATCCTTCAGAAATTCCGGCGCACATATGTCTTATCTGTGGATGGGCACCATTTGCTCCTGTTCAGACTACTCGATGGAGGTTATGCAAAAGAAATGCAGCGCTCTAAAATTAATATTGGAAATAGTAGACACAGTCCAGTAAAACAACAGTGCTCCTTGTTTCCCAGTGTAAATGGTAGAATTTTGCACTAACCAGAACGCGCATGGGTAATGCGCATATATGTGTAAATCCTGAAGATCCTTTTCTCCACTTAAGGCTGGTCAGGTATATGGCTTGGAAGAATGGAGATCCTACGCCCTCATGTGGTGGGAAATAATCCAGCAGGTCAAAGCTATGACGATCCAGATGAACCTCCACAGGAACTGGCACAGGAATCCCAAGGGCTACAAGGATGGAAAAGCTCCTCACAGGAGACACAGGGGAGCACTCATAGTGTAGTAATTTAAAACTTTATTTGAAAGCAGCACAGGTGCAGAATACAGGAGAATAGCCAAGTATGGGCAAACACACTGACCCTATTAGATGTCAAAATGGCCGCCGGGCCTCCTCGTGGCACCGGCGGCTTAATGTCAACGGCGTCCTAGGGTCCCACCTGACGCGTTTCGTGCGCACGCACTTCCTCAGAGGTGGAACATAGGGCTGCCGTGACCGTTCGATCGTACTTAAATACCGTAATGCCGTATTCCGCGCATGCGCACTGATGCGGCGCCATCTTGCCGAAGTCCGTGCGTCCGCGATACTCAAGTGCGCATGCGCGGGTGCCATTTCACCGTGGGCCAGGAGAGAACGGGAATCACTGAAGAGCGGCTCCATATAAGCGGAGCTCGGCTGTCCGAGATAGGCTCACAGCGCATGCGCGAATGCCAACATCCCGTGTATACACAGTGCAGTCCCCTGGCGCAGAGAAAAATGAGTCTCTGATGGTAAATGGCAGCAGAACACAGAGCAATAATAAATGTGTTCTTCCACTGACAGTTACATGAAACCAATGTCAGTTTGAGAAGGCCCTTTATCAGGGGCATCCCATACAGAATGATGCATATAAAAGAAGAATAATATAAAAACCAGATCAAAATAAACAGAGAGCTGGTAACGGTGCTGCTATAATAAAAGGCCATTAACTCCATATGCCCCAAACAAATGAAGCGGGGTTAATGGTAAATATAAAAACCGATTGTAAATCAATCATAATGTCATGCCCCCACCGTAGGGAGAATTACCTATGGATAAAATTAGGGGACACCACGGTGGAATGGCAAAATAGTAGTAGAATAACGCATGGGAATTGGTCAACAGAGATTCGATCAAGACCCATACATGGCATCATAACATATATAAAACGTGCAAGGTAAAATTCCAAAATTATGGAATAAAGATAAATAAAAAGTAGAAAGAATTAAATAAAAAACAAAATGCAGTTGGCACCAGCACAATAGAAAGAACTGGTAAGGGTCAGAATGCAAATTGTACAAGCGCATGTAAAAGATGACAGAATTAATGAATGATCCTATATCAATACGCAATAAGGGCCTAAAACATGGTATAAAACTGGTCCACTTAATTGACCTGAATATGTGAGTTGGTAATGGAAAATGGATAGTAATATGTCTAATACCAAAGGTGATGGACAAATCCACAAGCTGTTGGTCAAGCACCGTAAAATTAACTGTTGTCAATGAAACAATTGACATCCAGTTCGATATTCAAACCTGCAGGATACAAAGTATCTAATTCAAAGATGTGTTTAGTCTCTAATTGTGAGACGGCCCTAGTTTTACAAGTACCTCTCCAATGTGGAGTCACAATGTCAATGCCCACAAAATCTCAAGCTGGTAGGGTCTCTGTGGTGATGTTTCCTATAGTGGAGGGACAATGAGTGTTCCTTAAATCCCTTCTTGATGTTGTTAACATGTTCTCGGAGGCGGTCCCTAAGGCGCCTAGTAGTCCTGCCAATGTATTGCTTGAGACAGGGGCATTCCAGTAAATACACCACAAATCTGCTATTACAGCAGATAAATTTATCGATGTTATACGATCTCTTGGTTTGGTTGGAGGTATAGGTGTTTATCTTTCTTTTCCTCATACCATTACATTTACAGGCGATGCAATTGTTGCATGGGTGGAAACCCGTATAGTTAAACAGAATGGGAGGTGATTTAGGCATGGTAACAACATTAGGGGCTATTTTATCCCGCAAAGTGGACGATTTACGAAAAATAACCTCGGGTTTCTCCGGAAGTATCTTAGCAAGGGTGGTATCAGCCCTCAAAATCCCCCAGTTCTTAGTAACTATATGTTTAATGGATCTATATTGGGCAGAGAATGTTGTAATAAATGGGCATACCAAATTTTTTCGGTGGTTTCGTCTGGGTATTTAGTATGATGATTATTATGCACCCCCTACTCCTAGAACCCCTGATATTCGTTCTAATAATAGTCATCGTTTTTTAGAGAGGGGCAGGGTACGAAAAAGAAGCGACAATATAGAGGCAAGAGGGGAGGGAGGAGAATCAATAGATCCAACAAAGCGAAGGAGAACATGATTGGGAAGGGTATCTTCAACCTTAGCGCATCCTCGCTTTCTGATAACGAATTAAGTCTATTGGATAAAGGGTTAAAATTTGCCCCAACTAGGCCCATGAATAAGTTCCAGGCCTTTATTGATATTCAGAAATTTGCAAGAAGGTTATCGATCAAAAGATACTTCATGAATAACCCTATCACTAAACATCCCTCATGCCAATATACTTCTCTTTCTAATGCTTCTACTTTCAATCCCCCACCACAAAGTAATTCAGCTGTTAGTCTATTTAGAGATCAAGTATTGAAAGATCTAAAAAATCTTCCCATTAAGAAAATATACAAAGATCCCAAAATAGACACAGCAATCAAATCCCTTCTAGAGCAGAAAGATCTCGTAGTAAGACCTGCGGATAAGGGGGGAGGGGTAGTCATTTTAAATAAGAGTGATTACATAGCAGAGGTATATAATATCCTTGGAGATACGTCTACATACCAACCACTTCATAAAGACCCCTTATCAGAGTATAAACGCACTCTCAAAACTATTATTAAAAATGGCTATGATAAATCTATTGTTAATAAAAAAGAGAAGGCATTTCTGTGTCCCAAGGCCCCTCGCTTACCGGTCTTGTACATACTGCCCAAAGTACATAAAAAATCCACTAAAACCCCCGGGCAGACCAATAGTGAGCGGGATCGATTCACTCTGCTCTAGAATAGGGGCCTATATTGATCACCATCTTCAACCGCTAGTACTACATACCCCTTCCTATCTTAGGGACACGAAACATGTCCTGAATTCCATCAAAGACATCTCTATTCCTCCATCCTCTTTTTTGGTAACAGCGGATGTTGAGGCGTTGTACAGCAATATTGACCATAAAGATGGGATGACAGTCGCTAAGCATTACCTCACACATGAGAGCTCATTACTCCCTCCACATATCGATTTCATACTGGAGCTTCTGAATTTTGCAATGTCAAAGAACTACATGTGGTTTGACAGTAACTACTACCTGCAAGTCAAGGGGTTGCCATGGGGGCAAAGTTTGCCCCCAGCCTGGCAAATTTGTTCATGTCCTATTGGGAGGAGGATAACATCTATGCTATGGACTGGCCTGAATTGCTGTATTATAAGCGGTATATTGATGACGTGCTCCTGTTTTGGAATGGCACGGAACAATCACTTAAAAATTTTTTCACTACCCTCAATAATAATTCTGTGAATATTAAATTATCATACAAGTTTAGCAACACTGAAATTGATTTCCTAGATCTCACTCTAATCAATACAGGTGGACACATCACTACCCAATCCTTTTTCAAAACCACCGATCGAAATAGTTTCATCCCACTAGGGAGTTGTCATCACCCCAGTTGGTTGGCAGGTATACCAAAGGGACAATTCCTTAGGTTGAGAAGAAACTGCACTAACATCGACACTTACCATATGCAAGCCAATATCCTTAAAGAACGATTCCTCGAGAAAGGATATGACGGGAAGGTTTTGAATGATACTATGGAATCAATAACCAACATGGATAGGCATGATTTACTAAATACCCAGACGAAACCACCGAAAAATTTGGTATGCCCATTTATTACAACATTCTCTGCCCAATATAGATCCATTAAACATATAGTTACTAAGAACTGGGGGATTTTGAGGGCTGATACCACCACCTTGCTAAGATACTTCCGGAGAAACCCGAGGTTATTTTTCGTAAATCGTCCACTTTGCGGGATAAAATAGCCCCTAATGTTG